TATGGCGTTTTTTGAATTCGAACTCAAATACGTGGTATTTGATAAATATTCAAGAATATTTATCGAATATCAAAATATATTTATTCTACTAAAGAATTTGATTTTCAAATAGTATTTAAATTAATAAAGAAAAATTATTCATTTATAATATATGATGTATATGTATATGTATATATATATATATATATATATCATTCAAAAAATTTATTATAAAACAGATTTAAAATTAATTAAGTCTTAAAATTAGTGCATAAAACTTAAGTGGAAATGGTAAGTGGGTTAAAAATATGACATTATATGTGCAATAATACAAATAATAAGTGATCAAATTTTAAACGAATATTTATAGACAAACGAATTGAATATACATCTGGTTAAATTCTATTTGTTAATAAACTCGAATACTAACAAATATTTGTTTAGTAGTAAATGAACTATCAAATCGAATACGACTGAATAGTTACTCGAACAATTATCGAACTATTTGTTAATTATTTGGTTCACTTCCACCCCTAGGAATGAGTGCAATACACGGGGGTATCGTGAATGTTGGATTTAGAATGCATCACAACTACCCACTAGATAATTAATGATTGAGATTATAAGTAGTTGTCTCTCTACTACTTTCTTGTAGTAGAGAGGATCCACCCACTGGATAATTAATGATTGAGATTAAAAGTAGTGGTCTCCCCACTACTTTCTTGTAGTAGAGAGGATCCAAATTAAAATTAAATGAGTAGTGATAACTAGATACAATTTTCAAACTACTTCTACACTATTACACCCAAGGATTGTGGGGTCCATATTGACTCATCAATTTAATAGCAATCTAGGTGGAAGGACCCCACACCTTCACTTTCATGCTAGTAATGTAGATGTAGTTTAGTAACATAGTTTAGCTATAATTATTCTAAATTAAATGCTATCTCTCGTTACATAAACTATTTATGTTCAGATTTCCTTGTATTTTAAAAAAAAAACTAATTTTCTCATGCTTTATAATGTCAAACTAAAAAGTGGATCGCTAGGCGTCTTGGACACAAGAATGTTTGGGGGATTTACTCCTCCCTCCTGAAGAAGAATAACACCAATATTTTAATATAGTTTAATTGACCAACTTCGACTTGCATCTACAAGGCACTATATGAGAAATCTGCTATGTAGAGGGAGGATCTTACAAGAAGATCCTCTCTCAATCTGTCAACCATATAGTTGCTCTCATTTTTTCTTCAAAATCCTAATCTCTTTTATTTTTTTTCCCTTTATTTTTTCTCCAATAATAGAAGACTATACACAAAGAAACCAAAACTCCACCTCAAGACTTTCTAAACTAAAGAGAACGCAAACTCCTCCTTATAATTCGACTCATTCTCCTAATCATGATAAATCTCTTACAATATACAACTATATGAAGTTAAACAAAAAAATCTGAGGCACAATCTCAACAAAGAAGATTCAGCATTACTAGGGCTTTGACTAGTAAATTTTTAGGTAATGCATATCACCCCAAGGTAAGGGGGTTTTGTGAAGTTTGCCCTAGTTTTCCCCTTATATGAAGGCAGAGATTTTTACTAAAGAACAAATTTTCACTGTAGACCCAAACGGAATTTTAATTACCAAAATCGACCGATTTTTTTTTTAATTATCAAAATCGACCCGTTTTATGCCACGTAGGCTTAATCCAGTTTTCTAATTAGTCGGGGTTGCCAACCCCGACTGTTTAGGAGTTGTTAAACCCCGATTAAAAGCCTTAAAACCCGGTTTAACAACTCCTAAACAGTCGGGGTTGGCAACCCCGACTAATTAGGAAACTGGATTACGCCTACGTGGCATAAAACGGGTCGATTTTGGTAATTAAAAAAAAATCGGTCGATTTTGATAATTAAAATTCCGTTTGGGTCTACAGTGAAAATTTGTTCCTTCGGATACCACCACCAAGAAATATTGCCAACCTGAATTAGTGCTGCAACAATCTAGCCTTTTTTATTCTTCAACCATATACTCTTTCATAAACACTACATGGTAGCTGTATCTTTGTTTGAAACAATCAGGACAAAATTTCAACCCCCCATCTTTTGTTCGAAAAGAACGCTTTTATCTTATTATGCATCAAACTTTGAGAATTTACTTAATCAATAAATCCCTGAACATTATAATCAAAGTGAACGATCGCATAAAAAAACCAATAGAGGGGTAAAAATTAGGGTTCTGCTTACGTGAATTTGAGAACACGCACGTGACACTTCGCCTCCTCTTCCTCTCGATCGGGATGAAGCGCTGAGAATGAGAGGACCGAGCACTGAAAGCACGTGAGCAGGAGAGGAAGTGATTTGGGAGATGGGTTTTGGTCGGATTGGGGGATTGAGAAGCTGAGGGGTCGTCCGCCATGGGATAGGCGCACGATAAGCAGAGAGGCGCATGATAGGTAGCAGCCATGAGAAGAAAAGATGGAAGACGACGAAATGAGGAGAGGGTTACGTCGCGTAGTGAGCTTTTTGCCCTTTTGATAATAGTTTACAGTTAATTACATATAACCCCCTGTTAGTGCTACTATTTATTGTTTAGTACCTATATCATCCTGTGGCCCCTCACATAACTCTTTTTGACCTCCTCATCTTTTTCGATCATATGTCATCCAAATTAGCTTATTAAAGGTAAAGGATAGTCCATTATTATATTTTTCGGAATAGTTAATTCAAAAAATTCTAACCTTTTATTTTAAAAATTTTATTTTTCTAACTTCAGAAATGGTAAGTGGGTTAAAAATATGACATTATATGTGCAATAATACAAATAATAAGTGATCAAATTTTAAACGAATATTTATAGACAAACGAATTGAATATACATCTGGTTAAATTCTATTTGTTAATAAACTCGAATACTAACAAATATTTGTTTAGTAGTAAATGAACTATCAAATCGAATACGACTGAATAGTTACTCGAACAATTATCGAACTATTTGTTAATTATTTGGTTCACTTCCACCCCTAGGAATGAGTGCAATACACGGGGGTATCGTGAATGTTGGATTTAGAATGCATCACAACTACCCACTAGATAATTAATGATTGAGATTATAAGTAGTTGTCTCTCTACTACTTTCTTGTAGTAGAGAGGATCCACCCACTGGATAATTAATGATTGAGATTAAAAGTAGTGGTCTCCCCACTACTTTCTTGTAGTAGAGAGGATCCAAATTAAAATTAAATGAGTAGTGATAACTAGATACAATTTTCAAACTACTTCTACACTATTACACCCAAGGATTGTGGGGTCCATATTGACTCATCAATTTAATAGCAATCTAGGTGGAAGGACCCCACACCTTCACTTTCATGCTAGTAATGTAGATGTAGTTTAGTAACATAGTTTAGCTATAATTATTCTAAATTAAATGCTATCTCTCGTTACATAAACTATTTATGTTCAGATTTCCTTGTATTTTAAAAAAAAAACTAATTTTCTCATGCTTTATAATGTCAAACTAAAAAGTGGATCGCTAGGCGTCTTGGACACAAGAATGTTTGGGGGATTTACTCCTCCCTCCTGAAGAAGAATAACACCAATATTTTAATATAGTTTAATTGACCAACTTCGACTTGCATCTACAAGGCACTATATGAGAAATCTGCTATGTAGAGGGAGGATCTTACAAGAAGATCCTCTCTCAATCTGTCAACCATATAGTTGCTCTCATTTTTTCTTCAAAATCCTAATCTCTTTTATTTTTTTTCCCTTTATTTTTTCTCCAATAATAGAAGACTATACACAAAGAAACCAAAACTCCACCTCAAGACTTTCTAAACTAAAGAGAACGCAAACTCCTCCTTATAATTCGACTCATTCTCCTAATCATGATAAATCTCTTACAATATACAACTATATGAAGTTAAACAAAAAAATCTGAGGCACAATCTCAACAAAGAAGATTCAGCATTACTAGGGCTTTGACTAGTAAATTTTTAGGTAATGCATATCACCCCAAGGTAAGGGGGTTTTGTGAAGTTTGCCCTAGTTTTCCCCTTATATGAAGGCAGAGATTTTTACTAAAGAACAAATTTTCACTGTAGACCCAAACGGAATTTTAATTACCAAAATCGACCGATTTTTTTTTTAATTATCAAAATCGACCCGTTTTATGCCACGTAGGCGTAATCCAGTTTCTTAATTAGTCGGGGTTGCCAACCCCGACTGTTTAGGAGTTGTTAAACCCCGATTAAAAGCCTTAAAACCCGGTTTAACAACTCCTAAACAGTCGGGGTTGGCAACCCCGACTAATTAAGAAACTGGATTACGCCTACGTGGCATAAAACGGGTCGATTTTGATAATTAAAAAAAATCGGTCGATTTTAGTAATAAAAAATTGGTTTGGGTCTACAGTGAAAATTTGTTCTTTTACTAAATTATATTTTTCTTTGATTTACGGACCTATTATAGAAATAACATCAGTCCTGTCAAAAAAAATCCATATGTATTATCAGTTACAATTTGGAATATGTATCATGTCACCGACACACTAACCAAATTACCGGAGTGGTACATCAGCATACATTCCTTAGACAAACACATACGTAACACAATGAACCCTGAATCAAAGTTTTCATCAGATATTCAAATTACAAATTTATACATCTTGATAATAAAGGAATAAATTTAGATGTCATATAAAAACCATCAAAAATCGAATTCTTCGATAAAACAGATTAACACTTCAACGAAATAATCCACATTTTATGTAAATGCGAAACAAAGTCAATCACAAATACATTTTAGCGTTTGAGAAACTTTGAATTAAATTTCAAATTGAACGTTACTTCGAAGATTATAAACCAATGTAAATATTAACACCTAAATATTTAATTCTATTCAATTCCGCCAAGATTCCGCTCAATTCGATTCCACCAGGTGAAAGGTAATCTCATCTCAACTGATGAAAGAAAACAAAGAAAGAAGAAGAGATCATAATAACAAAAAGGATAAAACTATCTGCACAAATTGACCTCTCAAATTGTCACCATTCTTATAAGACTATACAATTGACCTCTCAAATCACCATAACCACCTTGCAAATTTCTAGTGGTATTTAAAGTTCACCATTTAATAACAAAATTGAGAAAATAAAAAAATTAGTGTACCCTTGCCATTGTTAACAAAATAATAAAGGACACAAGAAAAAGGTCAAAAAGAATAAACAAATAAATAATCGACCTATATCAATCTGAGACTGTGAGACACCAATTCAAATTTGAAGTGCCAACCTTCACGTTTCTTGCAACGCAAATTTACATAATTATCTTCGGAGGTCTCTTGCACAACTCCAAACATCTGATTGAATCAAAATGAAGTGCCACCTCCTTTTCACGATGAAAAAATTTTAGGGTTCTGCAGCTTTTTTCGTAATTCCTCTGAGCTCTCTTTCTCATCCAATTCTTCAGCTATTTTCCTGCCCATTGTATGATGTATCTCTGCTTGCGCATAAAATTTATCTTTTCACAAAACTTCAGCGACAGAACTTAGGGATTGACATTACATTCATCCATATAATGCTCATTTTCTGTAAGGTATTTCTTCCAGTGCCATTTGTATTTTGGTATACCTAACTCCATCCATGGTTTCATATTACCATTATAATGCAATACCATAGCTTCATGCAAAGCAGAACTACTAACTCCATAATTGTGACCAAGCCCTGATAGAACCCAGGATTCATCAATGGGATGGATTAGATTTTGAAATACAAGTAAGCTTGCTGGAAGTACTGCACTTCTCCATGATGATTCTGTCATGCTCTGCAACTGCCAGAGAATAGCTATTAAACTTTATAATGTAAACAATAAAAAAAAATGTTAGAAATGTGACGAAGTGCAGATTCAACTTGGATCACACTTTCTCATTAAACAGGTAGTTAATGAGTTATAGGCATGGGATAGTATATTAAGAATTTTTTATAATGGTTCTAAGCTCATGAGTTCATAACTAAGTTACCCTAACACTCAATGTTTAAAAGAGCGAAAGCGCAAAGCGAAGCGCTAAACCCTTTGATGAAGCGAGACGTAAGCTTCAAAGTGTGAGGTGTAAGTTTCACGAGTTCAGGTATTTTAATTTTAAATTTATAAAAATTATGAACATATAATATATACTGGTGTAATAATTTACAAATATATACATTCATGTCCAGATTAATAAATAAGAGTAAAACATGTGAAGTATAGAAATGTAGAAATGAATCACAATAAACTACGCTACATACATAACATATATATTTTATTTACACCCACATGTTCATATTGAAAATACATAGGGGCATTTTAATGTTAGTCTAATATCCTCTTATATCTTTTTGTCCTGCCTAATGCATGCACTTCAAAAGAAAAGCGCTTTATGAAGTGCGAAGCGCACGCTTCGATTATGCTTTAAGCGATGAGGCGTAGGCTTCAATGGATAAATAGTTTCACTCTTGAGTTTCAAAGCGTTTTGCCCTATAAAGTTTTTAAGCGAGTTTCAAAAAAGCTTTTTCAAACATTGCTGACACCTCATATGGGCTCCTCTAACTGTGTCCGACACTTCTTGTATGTGTATCCGACTCGACAGTCCTTGAATATATGCATATATTTATTTAGACATGTATTCAATTATATAATCCATGTTCTAGTTTAAAACATTCATCACGCACCTCTTGGACATAATCTTACACTAACGTCCACTTTTTGCAATTCGACACGACTCAAGTTCATTTCGGTCAAGTACCAGTTTAGAAGTTTGGTTTTAAAAGATTGTTTAGTTATCTGGTCCAAAAACGAGTGATTTTCCAATTTATAATATACTTAACAAAAGAAGATTAAGTTCTCATTGTATGTGAATGAAAAACAATATCAATCTCATATAAATTATTTTATATATATATATATATATATATATATACTATAACTGTATCGATACATGCAACCCTACCCGTGCAACAGAGGTTCAGAACATCCCAGAGTATATTTTCTTAAGATTAACCAAAGATCGAAGTATATTCATAAGTAATTTCTCTAAAAATAAAATATATTAGCCATTATCCTATAAGTGAGAGATACTAAATCAACAAAGAAATTTGGTTGCTAAGACAACAAGCTTCTAAAGTTGGATAATAATGGTGTCAATTCTGGCCTAAACCTAACAACCCACCCAGATCCGCCCAATACAAGACCCATCCAAACCCACTCATTTAACTAAATGGGTGCTAAATGGGTGGGTAATGTTCCTGTAAAGAAAAATAGATTAGATGGGCGGGTCTATGCCCGGCCATGACCCACACAAACTAACCCAACTCAAAAATTCTCAAAAATCTCAACTCTCTCTCTCTACCCTAATCCAAACCCCTAGTTTTCTCTATCTCACGATTACTGTTGCCTTTTTTCCCGATCCAAATCTAAATCCTACCAAACCGTAATTTTCTCTTTGGTGATCCTCCTCAAACCTAACTTTATCAATCTCTTTGATGCTATGGATGGATTTGTATCTAAAATCCTACAGATTCATCTTTGACCTTGCCCTCGACGTCGATTTCCTTAGATGGGCAGCTTATGCCTGCCCATAACCCAACGTAAAAATCTCATCTCTCTCTCTCACATAATTATAATCCAAAACCCTAGTCCTTTCTATCTCGCAATCACTACCGTTTTTCTTCTCGATCCACATCTAGATCCTACCGAGCTCCAATTTATCTCTTTGGCAATCCTCCTCAATCCCGACTCCATCGATTTCTCTAGCAATCTCTCCAACGCTTTGTATGGAGCTATTACTAAATCCCTAGAGATTCATCTCTAACCTCACCTTCGTCATCGATTTTGTTAGATAGGCAGGCATGTGCACGCCATGACACAACAGGCCCGCTCATGACCTAACTATAAACTAAACCAACTTAAAATTCCCCAAATTTTTAAGCTCTCGTTCATGTGATTCTAATACAAAAACCCTAGTTTTCTCTATATCACGATCATTGTTGTCTTTCTTCACGATCCAAATGTAGATCCTACCGATGATCCTCCTCAAACCCAACTCCATTGATCTCTTCGACGCTTTGGATGGAGCTACTGTTGAAACCCTAACAAATTCATCTCTCTGACCTCGTCCTCGACATCGATTTCCCTAATCGGAGGGTATAAACCCTAACCTTTATTTCTAAGTTCACAATTATTTTTATGAACGACAATTTTGTTTGATGTAACAAGAATAAGATCTTATGTATTATAGTAGTTGATCTGTGGATACTATGGAATGATATTGTTAGCCATGATTAGGTTTTTGCTTTTATTCAGCAACGTCACATCTTGGAAAATGCCACTGGATTCTTCAAAAGTATTATTATTGAATTTGTGTATTGCTCAGACTATTATTATTGAATGAATCATTAAGGAGCTTAAGTTATAAAAAGTTTAATCATTAAAAAATATTCTACTTATGTTGTTTCTTGATGTCTTATGAAGATAATCATTCCTCAATGTTATGTTTGGATAGCTTGTTTGTCTTGCCCAAATGGAGCAATAGAGGCTTATATTGTTCTGATTAATAATGATCAAACTTTTCTATTTTTATTAAGATGCTTACTAAATGTTTGTCTTCCATAAGTATCTTTGTCAAAGTACATTTTGAATGACTCTACACATTAATAATGACAAGACTTTTAATTCCAATTGCATAGTGTGAGTAATTTGGTTTATATTAGCTTGTCATGCAAATGTTTGTAAATTTTAGCTCTAAGTAAATACATCTGGTTGCATGACTCCACACATTAACTCCTGCATAATTTTGATGATTTGGGCTTTTTTTAAGTAGTAATGTAACATATACGAAACTTGTCTCATTTAATTCCAATTTTTTATTTGATATTAAATAGTTATTTTTCTTGCTTTAGTTATTATCTTGGAATGAATTTATCTGATCTTGGTAAGTGTGTTTTGAATGCAGATTTAGTTATTACCTTTGTTTAGATAGTTTGAGCAGTGGCAACATGTTAAATTTATTATTATGATGATCTTTCCCAAAAGATCATTCCTAGTTTATTATTCTTTGGTCTATCACTTATGAGACTTAAACCTATATTTACATTATAACTCACACTAATTTTCTCTGTTGAGTTATAAAATTCATATTTTTGTTTCACATTATTTACCACACCTTTGGTATTTGATAATTTCTAGCTAATATTGGTGATATTGTAGCATTGGTGCAAATGTATTCTCCTTATGTGCTTTTCGCAATCATGACAACTTTGAGAAGACTCTTTTCTCCTTCTCATTGCTCAATCTCTACTGCTCGTGCTCAGAAAAAGAGGTTTTGATTGACCAATGAGGGTTTGATTGACCAATCACCATTTATTTCCTCGATAGTGTTTATCCTGTAAGTTTGATGTCTTCACGTATCTTTGGAAGTTTAATTTTCTTCAGGAATCATTGAGATGTTCATAGTATGCTTTGTCTGTGCTTTTGGATTTCATGTTGCCTTCATGTTTTTTGTGTTGTTGGTCATTGTATCATGTTATAAGAAAATAGTTTAATATTGGATTAGGCGGCTACCAAATGGAAGAATTTAGATGTAATCTAATATGAAATTTTTGTTGATAATCAAACTCAAAGGTTTGAATCCTCTTTCTATTAATTTTCTATCATGGGTGTCATTTATTTCTGGTCTTGTTCCGTTGCAATTTGAGCTTGTTTGGGTATTGAATTTTTTTTCATGTGACAAGTGTATGATTGCTTCAAAAGCAACCTGGTGTTGTTTATTTCTGGCCTTGCACCTTTGTAGATGAGCTAGTTCATGAAAAAAAATTATCGTGATAAGTGTATGATTTCTTCATATTGCGGTTTGCCATTTGAGCTAGTTCATGAAAATATTTCTTGTAATAAGTGTATGATTCCTTGAAATGTTACTTCAGTGACAGTATTTATAGTATTTTATCTTAAAGATGTTATGATTGTATATGGCGATATGAAAGTCTTTATATATGTATATGTATATGTATATGAGAACTTGAGAGCACATTCTATTGGCACCAATCTGCTCTTTGATAAAATTGCATCTTAGGGTGGATTTCTCGTTGTTCTTTGGACTTATTTAAATTCTACATGGGAATATTTGCTCTATTTGAAACTTTGGAAATAGCCACCTCAAAGTTTACAAACAGCCCCCTGAAACTTTGCAAAACAGCCCACTTGAAAAAAAAGGTTTGTAGAAAGCCCCCTGAAAGTATGCAGAAAGCCCCCAAAACTTTGCAAGTAGGCCCCCAAAACTTTGCAAATAGACCCCTAAAAGTTTTATATATACAAAAGTATGGTAATTAAATGGGATATTGGACCACCCATTTAATAAATGGGTGGATGAGGGGTTACCCATTTAGCAAATCTCGATGGGTCATAAACAGGCATAAATGTGTCCACTCATTTATGACCCACCCAAAACCACCCATTTGACATCCCTATTGGATGGGGACTATAGGGTAAATGATTATTCGTAATTCTGCTCAGATGATTAAATAAGTACATGTTGCTAAAAAAGGCAGGTTAATTGACTTCCAAGAAAAAAAAGTAATGAAAGGAATGAATGGGAAGGCTGGTAAAATTGTGTACAGAAAAGGTTACAAAATGCTACTTAAAAGTTAAAAATGGTTGCAAAATTAAAAAGGGAATGAACAAGTGTAGCCTGAGGAGGTTGATTACGCTTGAAGTGCCAAGATTAGGCCATGTTGTTTTTTAATGCTGCCAACTTTTTCGGACAAGAATGATTTTAGTCTCTAATTATTTACCAAAGAACTTGAGGGGTCAGTTCCTCAGACAGAATCCATTTTTTCTGGTGTGTGGAAAGATGTACTTGTTTATAAATTAAAAAGAAAGAAATCATTCACGTAAATATACTACTAACCTTATGGTTGACCTGCTGGTAGATTCCTGTAACATTGTGCTGCCTCCAAGTTTCCAAATCAACTATACTCAATCCAGACATCCAGGCACAAGAATCAGCATTATAATTGTTTTTACCCAAATAAGTTTTCAGCTGCCACAGTCTCACCCCACAGAATTCAACAGCACCAATGACTTTACCTCGCAAATCAAGGCTCCACAAAGATGACAAATCTTGCTGAACAACCACATCATCATCCAAAACCACTACTTTCTTCAGATTCTTAAATATGTCAGAAAGAAGAAAGTGTGAGTGGCCAAAGACAGATATGTATTCTGTTCTTATCTGCTCAGAAGATTGTTGCTCAGTGTTGTGAATGGAAACACGGAATTCCTCTGGTAGTGTCATTTGAGCTCCTGTATTATATGGGTCATTGGTATTGTAAAGTTCATCAAAGTTAAGGACATTAACGGTTGCTTTACTATAAGAATTTCTGGAAAACCAGAGTTTCATAGCATAGTAGTTCTCCACATCAGTTAGCAGATGGAAAACCAACTTTTCAGTTTCCTGAAATATACATGGAATGAGGCATCAGTACACAAAAGACATAATGTAGTGAATACAAGAAAAGCACTAAATAGAACATAATACCTCTGAACTCATCACTGTTGAATTAATGGTAACACTAGATGCTAATAGGTTCCTGGAGAAGATAACATAGTGCCTGAAATTTGGGCTGTGAAATTTTTCGCCATCAAAGTCAGGATCCACTGATTGAGATCTGAAATATTCTACTGTCAACCTCATGGACAAGCAATGGATACTTTTGGGAATGGTCTGTACACCAAGTTGATACAAGAAGGCACTCTGTTTCATATGGAAATGAGATTCATCCTCAGTGAGATCAAGAAGCTGCCTAAGTTTCTTGTCAATGTTACTGCAATCAACAGTGCATGACTTAGCTCTAGCAATTGCCTGATCCATCTTCTCGATCTTTCTCATGACACTGACAGGAAGTTGACAGGGAGTTAATATTTCTTCATAAACAAACTCATAAAATAAATAATTATCCTCCACAAAAGATCTTAAGGATAGCAGTGACAAAAATAGATTAAAGCCTGTAAACCATGCACAATGCCTCTTCTTTTCGACACTGCACACAGGGGAAGTGGGTGCAAATACCCCTTCAGAGAGATATATTAAAACTACTCAAAAGAGAATTAATCATCAGAACTACATATAAAGGAGAGCAGTGAAGAGATGTACAAGCCTCGAGAGATCATGTGCATATCCATATCTAACAAGATTAGTGTTCTAATAACCTTTAAAGACCACAAAAGGGAAGTAGGTTTGAACTTTTTGTTTCCCCTTATAAGAAGCAGAGAATAGAGTCTCTCAAACATTTCTTGCCATTTACTTTTCGCGTTTTGATTATGTTTACGCTTTTTCTTCATCCTATATTTCCATAAAAATAATGCAACAAAAACCCTTATTATTCAAATAAGGTAATAATTTTGGCCGAGAGTCCATTTAGGCTTATTTATCAATTATCATATACTCTGATCTTTCTCCTGAAAGGTCCATTTAGGCTTATTTATCATATATTCTGATCTTCTCCTGAAATGTCACAAGTACTAGGCATCCCTATGCCGGTGCTGCTACACCAGCTTTAATGATATCTCTAGCTATTACAGCACCTTCTACTTTATGTTTTTATATACATGTACGGACAATTTAATAATTTTAATTTTCTAGTTAATGGCCACGGAAAGAAGAAACATTACAGATCTACAAAACAGAATAAAAGTATCAAGTTTTAGTTAGAAAAATCGAGATTAAATAAAAATAAACAAACTCGGTAACTGCTTATCTACCCGTGGTACCCTGGGAAATGTTCAACAAATAAAGGATTCCTAGTAGGTTTTCTATTGAGCAAGGTTTTAAATATCGGTTATCACGGATTTATCGGAGGGTCAAAATCCATATCGGATAGCGGATATCGGGGATAAGTAGTACTTATCCGAGTGATATTACCAGATAGTGTATACACATATTATAATATCCTAAAATATAATCTAACCATACTTAATGAAATATAAACGTACCAAAATGTAAATAATCATGTTTAGGATCACTAACCAATGGTAGAAACTTGCTTCTTGATTGCACGATGAAACCATTTGAGTGCATAGTTAGTAAAAATAGAATAACATACAAGCAAGATAACATAAAGAATGAAGAATCATTAACATAATTATTGTGTAATCACGAGATTATACACTAACTTACTAAGTTGAGATTTAATAGCTATGAGCCATGTCAATATTCATAAACAAACATAAGATAGTCACCAAACAACCAAGTTTCAAAAGCAACAAATACTTTATAATTCTTAAACATCCAAAGAGCAAACTCAAACCCAAACCAAAGGCCAATAATTTCGATATTTTGAGCCGACAATCTCGACCGATAACTCACTTTATGGCCGCATTATCGCCGATAAACATCCAAAAAAGATAACCAGTTTAAAATCAAAACTTATCATAACGAAAGGCCCCCGAAACCAATAAATTGCCGATAATATCGGTTTATTGGCCGATATTTAAAACACTACTTGACTTACTAGTTCTGAGAGTAGGAATAGGGATATCTGATATATCTGGAATTCTGATCTTTTGGACGCAATACATAAGTTTGACTTTCAATCAATATGTCGGCAAGATTAATGACAAGTATAGATATATAAAAGATATAGAAACAGAATAGGAATTTTATCTTGCTCGAACTTAAGGTTTTTATTTCTCATGAAATTCATGAAATTAGGCTGGCTTTGCTATGACGGGGAAGAACACTTCTTCTATCTAAATATTGGTTTGACCATGAATGTCAGACGCTTGTTTTCACACTCAGACTTTTGCGCCCCTTATTTTCCTAAATTATGCAAAGTGCTAGCATATTATACCCTTTTTTATTATGATTGATAATTTCCAATTGCTCTCTAAGCAAAAGAAAAGCTCAAATATTCTTTAAGATAAAAATGCCTGCTCATAGAAGACAATTAAAATATATTAATATGTACTTGTTGACAAATAAATACTTGCACATCTGTGAATTCATGTATGGACTTTGAGGGTTCCTATTACAGGCATTCTCTTTCCATGTTAAAGAGAAACCACATGTACATGTCGACAAATGTTACAGGGTCTTCTAGTATGATATTATAACAGGAAATGTTGACTGTGTAAAAAAGGGACTCCTGCTTTTTGGTTCATAAATCTTCTAGCAGTACTTTAAACATGGCGTTTAATGTAATCTTTTGGCTTATCTATGCCTCAAATGGGAATTATTCCCCTATAGAAACATATCATCTTATCTGTTGGTCGTATATACAAAGTCAAAGTTATGCTTCAAGATTCTTTCAGAGACTAATGTGTAGCCCTCATAGATAATTAATATGCTAAATATAGGAAAAAATTCAATTTGAGAATAATTTCAACTCCTGCTATGGTATGGCCAAGCCGTGACACGAGATTTATGTCTATGGCCACAAAATTGGGTATGAAGATAAAAAATCCAGTTAATAGACAAGAGTCGGGGCTTTCAGAATAAGACATGAAGGTGAAGTATGAAACATGACACAGATACATGATACTTAATCACAGAAAAACTTAGAGAAATGTGTATGCACATACATGTTGTGTATACACTACTCTTTATAAGCCTAAGTCAAAATTACAACAAACTCTTCAAGCTAATTTAGAAGTATTTGGCAAAACCACAAGAAATGATTAGTCTAGAGAAAGAATTGTATGACCTTGAAATATATAGAAACATTTTATTGGACGTAACTCTAACGTAATTTTTTTTTAAACTCAGACTATAAACTTATCTTCTCGTTGGCACATTAGTACCTCCGAAGTCTGACATGTGATAATGTTCACAATTCATCATTGTACTTTACCTAAATATACTTCTTAACTCACAAGGGCAGAGATCATACATTATACTGTATACTACAGATAAAAGGAAATGAACAGTTCTTAGCTATAGTAAACCTTTTGTATATTATTACATTGCTTTGCCAAATTTTCTTAAACCTTATCCCCTCAATTGGTTAGAGTGTCTAGCTGCAAAGTATTGGCTAGCATAAGTTACAAGGTTCAATTCCCGCCTTCATCGCACATATTTTTTTCATACTCTTTAAAAACACGAGTTCGGGAAAATCTTTCTATGATCAATATTACCCTTCTCTATTTTAAATATTTCATTTATATCTTAATCTATCTTAATCATAATTATATCCTATCCTAATCCTATGTGAACTATCTATAACTTAAAAATTTTAAAAAAAATATTAATAAAATATATAAAACATCTTTATAGTATTAGTTTGTTAAGATAAATAAATTATACGTAGCTAACGTACTATAATATATAAAGTATTGTAAAAAACCTAGATTGTTTAAAATTTACACAAAATACCCCAAAAAGTTTAAAATTATTAAAACTATCACGACGTCTAAAAACTTAAAACAACAAACATGAAATTAAGAAATTAACAGCAGTTTGTGAAGAATTTAAAATTTACGGTTAACATCTCAATATCTTAAAATTATAGAAACACCCTCAAAAGTTCAAATTACAAACAAGCACCGAAAATTCTAAACTTTCAAAACTTACAAACAACATAGATGAATTCAAGGGATTACTATAATGCACTTGAAAATTTCAGACATTTCAAAACTTAAAACAACAAACATGAAATTAAGAAATTAACAGTAGCCTTTGAAGAATTTAAAATTTTTGATTAACACTCTCAATGTCCTAAAAATTATAGAAACACCCTCAAAAGTTTAAATTATAAAAAACAATCCTAAAATTTTAAAAAAATTTAAATTTACAAACAACAAAAGATGAATTCAAGAGATTACCCTCATGCACCTACAAATTTTAAATTTACCGAAATTAACCTCAAAGTTACAAAAGTTGTAGAAAAAACTATTTCAAAATTTAAAAATTGTAAAAAAGCTCTAAATTTTTAAAATTTATAACCAGTGCACATCAAATCTAAAAACTATTGGTAGACCGTTGAAATTTAAATTTTTTAAAAATTAATCTATAATTTTAATAATTACAAAAAATAGCCTCAAAAGTTCAGAGTTGTAAGAAATATCATGACATTTAAAAATTACCACCGACACGTGAAATATTAAAATTACAACTACCAAACTTAAAAGTATTTTTTTAAATGATCCCAAAGTTTAAAAATTACAAATCACATCCTCAAAGTTCAAAACCACAAAAAAAGACTAAAATTTTAAAACTTGGCAAAGAAAAGTGTAACTGTTAGGTATTCTTTCATTAGTATATATAAAGAGAGAGAGAGTAAAACTCCTATCAACTTAAGTTGATGTCCACCAAACTTCAAATATCCAGTTAAGGAATAAAAATTAAATATTATAGCTTAAAAATTATCGTCACCATATAAATTAAAGCAACTACATAAAATTTTACTAATAAGTTGGAGCAATAAAACCCATTAGTAACATTAATTGATAGATGTTTAAATCCATAAAAATTATAAAAGACTATAATATAATAGCTCAGCATTAATTGATTTTAATTTAGACACATTAATCTCTGATGTTAATAATATTTATAGGATAAAAGAATACAATGAATTACGTATGGAGAAACTATCAGAATGTTCAGAGATATCCTTCAAAAAAATCAAGTTATTTTCATTGTAAATGGGAAAGTGACGGAAATAAATCTAAAATTCAGAAAACGTCCATGAATCATTTGAATTGGTATTGACATAAGGCATGTCTATTAAAGAAGCATCAACTGAGTTATATTGAAGAATAATTTAATAATTTTATCCTAATCAAAGAAGAATTATGCATGAAAGATATAAAAAAAATTAGTAAGCATTCATAAATTTATACTTTGTTCTTCAAATACTATAGAAATTAAATATTAATATTATAATCTAAGGCAAATTGT